AAAGCAAAGGAAATAAAACTAACACACAGATCCAATGGAAGCTGTGTGGGGTGGGGGTGGGATGGGGCGTTGGGGGCTCCCCTAGCAGCCCGATGCCTCCTTGGCTGGGTCCCACGTGCACTCATGACCACCTTGTGTGTGGGAAAGACACAGGGAGGGGAGTCAGGGAGAAAGGCACGTTTGAGTATCTGGAGTAGATTTAATTCAGTCCGCACTCACAGGGCTCCGTCTTGGAACCTTAGACAGTGGGAGGGGTAAAGAGATGCCTGGAGGTGCGTCCCCCCTTCAGGGACGCCAGGCCTCACTTTTTTCCCCAAGGGGCGCCCTCCTCGCTGGCCTCAACCTCTGGCCCTGTCCCGTCCAGCCTTAATGTGCCTTTGGTGGATTTCTCCTGGGCGCAACACTTCCTGTGGCCTATGGCTTTGAGTCTGGGCCCCTTTTTGAAAGTCTGTGGTGGGCCCACTCTGGCCCCTGCCCACCTCCCTTCTGTCCCCTCAACCAGCATCCTCTCTGCTGGTTCTTGCCTCCCAATCTTTGTCCATGCTGTTCCCTCTGCCCGGAATACCTTCACTTGCTCATGCACTGGGGTCCAGCTCAGCCCTCACTCCAGGAATGCTGCTTCCTCCATGACCTCCCACAGCTCCCAGCCGGGCTGAGCTGGTGCCCCTTCTCTGCCCCGTAACGCCCTGTGCACGCCATCATCTCGCCCACCACACGTTACCGTTGGCTTGTGTGACGGTTCCCCACCCACATCCCCGAATTCCCCTTCCCGGGGACAGCTAATCGCAATGGTCCTGTGGCTCCAGGACGGATGTGCTGGGGGCAGGGACAGCGAGCCCGACTGCGAGGCAGGTGTGGGGTGCGGGCAAGAGGCGTTGAGATGCTGAGCCGAGCTCCCCTGAGGGGAGGGGACAGGACGGTTTTCAGACGTCACAAGGACTTTTAGGGACAAAGCACTTCCTCTGTGCTCTGTGTTAAGGGCCTGTCTTATTCTGCTTGGGCGGCTACAACAAAATACCATAGGTTGGGGGCTGGAAGTCCAAGATGAAGGTCCCAGCAGATTCCATGCCTGGGAAAAGCCGGCTGCTTGGCCTGTACAAGACAGCTGCCCCCTGGACGAGTTCTCATGTGGCCTTTCCTCAGGGCATGACCCTCACAGAGAGATCTCTCTCCCTGTTTGAAGGGGGCTAATCCCATCACGGGGCCCCACCCTCAAAACTTCATCTAAACCTAATTACATCCCCAAGGGCCCACCTCTAAATATCACACTGGGGGACTAGGGCTTCAACATATAAATTCGGGGGGACGCAGACAGCCCCCAACGTGGCCCTGGCAAGAACCACTCAGCTTGGGTAACTTGAGAATTTGGTAAAGGGACAGTTTACAGAGGTGTGGGCAGGGAGAGGGACCAGCAAGCGAGAGGGCAGCACCCTGGGCTAATTATCGTGGCCTCAGGCAAAAAGGCAGGAAGTGCTTCTTGGGGTCAGGACTCTGGACGAGGCTACTGACGGGGAGGTTCCTTCCTCTTCCCAAGTCTTCCTGTTGGTCAGACTGAGGCAGAAACCAGGGAACCCAACCATGTAGTCCATTGACATCACTGCTGCCCAGAGCAGAGTGGAGAGATCTGCAGAGGCCAGGGAACGATAAGCTGGGCAACCCCAAGCTTTCCAAAAGAGAAGGAGGCGGCTTAGCAGAAAGGTTTGGCCTCTTAGATCTCATGAGAGACATTGAGGACAAGGGAAAGGAAAGGGCAGTAAAGCACCAGTGTTAAGGGTTAATACCAGCCATGATTGAGCTTTATATTAGGCCCTGAGCTTCCTGGCAGCCTGGGCAAAAAGGGAAAGTTAAGTTAGTTAATCTCAACGAAGTGAGTTGACGCTTCTAGTTTTCCTGTAGGAGTTATCTGAGCTTTGTGACCTTGAAAAAAATCCATTCATGTCTCTGAGCCTCAGTTTCCTCACCTGTAAAATGGGGATAATGCACATGAAGATGGGATGAAAGCACAGAGCTTCCAGGCAAGAAGGGGAAAACGCAAAAGTCTTTTTTTTTTTTTTTTCCCAGAGGAGTTTTGCCTTTCTGTTTTCCAGAAGGGACATCTACCCCCAGAGACATTGGCAGGAAACTGCCACATGACCCTCGCTGCAAGGGAAGCTGAGGGTAGTTTATTGCGCATGTCGCCCCTCGGTAGAAATCAGGGTTCCGAAGGTATGAAAGGAAGGAGGCATGGAAGACACGGGGTAGAGCTCCAGTCTTGTCTGCTGTGACTCAGAACTAGTCTCCCCTGCCAGCCCCTTCCTTTTACTGGGTGAGCAGCCATGGCCAAGGGGCCGGAAACCCGGCCCTGGTGGTCTGGGGGAATGTCAGTGTCTGCACTCACCACACTCAACAGATCTAGCCTGGTGTCAACAGTACCAATGGAAACCAACACCTACCCATCACAATAGCAGGTGCCACGCTGAAGGCAACCCCGAAATGGCAACGAGCCGGAACGAGGGGCAGAATCCAACAAGGTGGTGTTGGGGCGGAGGACCTTCCTCGGCCCTGTGGTCCTTCCAGCTGGACGTAGAATCCAACTGACACAAGACAGATTAACAGAAGGAAATCAAATTGAATAGCTGTATGTATGCGGAGTCCACACAGACATGAACTTCCAAAGCTGATGAGGCAACAAGAGGTTTATCTGAGCTAAGGAGAGAGGAAGGGTCTGGGGGGTTAAAAGGGGGAGAAAGCTCATTAGCAGGAAGGTGAGAGAAGATGTTTGGAAAAACAAGGTTGCCCAATTAGGCAGATAAGATTCCTTGGTGAAGCTCTCTTCTTGGTACAGGCTCTCCTTTTCAATGTAAATTTTGGTAGTTAAGTGGGAGGCAGGGAGCTTTTCCTGCATCTGCTGGGTTTTAATTACTTAAAAAAAATTTTTTTTTAATTTTTAATGTTTATTTATTTTGAGGGAGAGAGAGAAACAGAGTGTGAGCAGGGAAGGGTCAGAGAAAGAGGGAGACACAGAATCTGAAGGAGGCTCCAGGCTCCGAGCTGTCAGCAAGAGCCTGATGCAGGGCTCAAGCTCACGAACCGCGAGATCACGACCTGAGCCGAAGTCAGACGCTTAACTGACTGAGCCACCCAGGCGCCCCCCCCCCAAATTTTTTAGGTTTATTTATTTTGATAGGGAGAGAGAGGACGTGCAAGTGGGGAAGTGGCAGAGAGAGAGGAGAGAGAAATACAGAGAGAGAGACAGAGAGAGAGAGAGAGAAAGAGAGAGAAGCCCAAGCAGGCTCCACGCTGCCAGTGTGGAGCCCAACTCGGGACTTGAACCGTGAGATCATGAAGTTGGAAGCTTAATGAATGGACTGAGCCACCCAGATGCTCTATGCTGGGTTTTAATTACTTTTAACCCGAAATACTCTTTATGCCCAAGTGGCCCATCTAGGGGCAGACTGCCCTTGGCCCCTACAGTGGATTGCAATATCAAATTATCAGGGGGCACCTGGCTGGTTCAGCTGGTGGAGCATGTGACCATTGGTTCCTACACTGGGCATAGATAGCACTTTAAAAAACATCAAGTTATCAAAATAAATCCAAAATAAGTTATCATCTGTGAACCTAAAGCTATTCTTAAAAATGTAGCCTGTTGGGGGTGGGGGAGCTCTGCGTGGCTCAGTTAAGTGTCTGACTTCTGCTCAGGTCATGATCTCGAGGTTTATGAGTTCGAGCGCCTCATCGGGCTCTG